GTGGAATGTAACTTTGAGCACGGTGCTAACATCATTGTGAAAATGTAAAAAAGAGCAGTGAGGAGTCCCTAATGGTGAACCTGTCTTTTCCTGGCWACTGTTCTGCAGAAACACTGCTAAGAGATCCAAGTCTGGAGCCTCTCAGCCTTTAGGGCAGCTCTCTCACACTGATTGCTGGTAGAACTACCTTCTCTGAGTAAAGTTACTCAGGTGTGCGTGTTTTATGTTTCCATGTACGTGTAGAATATTTCCATGACTAAACTCCCAGACTAAGTTATGTCATTCCCTCTGCTTCATTCATGTACTGCCAGTGCTTACAGCAGTGTGCCAGTTTATTGGGCACTGCGTTAAATTTGAGAGCTGCAGGTTGCTTTTATTCATTCTGTATGCTTTAGGTAAACACAGGCAAATCTCTTGGATTTTACTGTGTGATATTAATGAAATGCTAGATCGTAATTTTCTGGTTTGTGTCCCTGTACAATTGTATTGAAAACTTTCAGTAATAATAACCCATGTTCAGACTGGGAGATATTTCCATGCAAGAGTATGTTGGGTTTGTATCAYACCAGAGAGAACTCTAGGTAGTGGTTTTAATTCATGCATATTCTATTAATGCATGAATGAGAAAAGTGAAAGCAGTTCTTTTGATGGGGTACAAATTAATGCTGTGAAAAATGAGAAAAACCTACCAGGCTGAGACTTTTTTTTTAAATGAAGTGCAGATTTTCTGGCCAGAGCAGGTTAGTTTATTTTGGTATTTATTTYGGTTYATTTGGGTGCAGCCTGCTCATGCTTTTGGAAGAATGCCCACATGATGAGCCAGTTCCTGCCTCCCAATCCCTGCCTTGTGAAGGAAGATCCCCAGGAGGTAACTCCTTTGACCATGTGTTGAGCACAGCTCCTCYTCTGCCTCAGAAAGGACTTAGGGTATCTTTTTTTTTTCCCCCGCTGGAACTTAATGACTGAAAGAATAGTGTGAATCCTATCTCCCATTTGATTATTAAATACTTTACATTGAAAGGATTTAAAGTCTTCACTATGACAGTGGGGAAGTACTGGAACAGCTGAGAACTTGAACAGAGAAGTGTTGGATGTCCCATCTCTGGGAGTGTCCAAGACCAGGTTTGATGGGGCTTTGAGCAGCCTGGTTTAATAGAAGGTGTYCMWGCCCCRGCAGGAAGGTTGGAACTWGATGATCTGTAAGGTSCCTTCCAGCCCAAACCCTTCCATGATTCTATGATTCCATAAAAGTATCAGACTTTACCCAGGGAATGAGATCATTAGAAACCATAAAGTATTCTGGACTCTCTCTAATGCTGTGCTCTGACTATTCTGATTTTTCAGAAATAATTCACCAAAAATATTGTCACGCTTGGAACAGGCTGCCCRAGGAAGTGGTTGAGTCACCACCTCCAAAAGTATCCAAAAGACATGTCAATGTGGCACTTAGGGACATGGTTTAATGGTGGAATTCACAATTAGTGATTGGACTTGATGCTCTTAAGGGTCTTTTCCAACCTAAATTATTCTAGGAGACAATGAAATGCTTCAAAGGAGAGTAGATGTACGTTTGGTGTCAATTTAATCAGTAAAGCCGACTTTCCAATTCTGCATTTCTATGGCAGCATACACCTGACAAAGTTTGTCAGAAGTTGCCAGGGTTTATATTTCTGATTTATACCTAAAAGTAGATTTTTTTTTTTCCAAAGGGACAAGAGAAGAGTTATGTCTCCACTTTCTGTTWACCTGAAGTGGATGATTGAAATCTTGTGTTCTTATAAAAACACAACTGAAAAGTCAGGTGTTACAAAATCTTTTGGGCCTGATTATGCTTTTTTTTTTTACTGCAACCATCCCTCACAAGATTGTAAGAGGTCTTAAGTTGTTAAAAAACTCATGTTAAGCTTAGCAAAGAGGGGTTGTGTTAGTTTGAAAAGTCTTTTGTAATTCTCATGTCTGATGTTGTGGTACTCTGCCTATTTTCATTTGAAAGAAAAGACAGCAATAAGAGTTAAAAAATGTGTTGCCAATTTTCTGCTAAAGGGTATTCAATGCTAAATTGCAAGCATCCTTTTTAGGAGCTATCTTGGGGAGGGGATTACCATCACACAGAAAGATGTGTGTAGAAGCACCAGGAAATAGGCCCTGAAATCTGAGATTTTTCCAGAACAAGATTTTTCATTGTATGTGGGGAGATGAGAAATCCTTTTGATTTTAAGCACAGGGCAAAAATAAGCCAGCTGCATTAAAATTACTTTCTGCTTATGGTTGAATTTATTCTTAGATCTTTTTTTTTCTAAGATYACCCATGGAAAAAAATAAAAAGTCAAGTCTGTCAGGTACCTAGATTTTTGAAGAACCAGAGAGAAACAGATGGGTATTTMTAAAAAATGAACTGTCTCTTCCAGAATAGTGAGCTGTAAACTGAGTATGACAAGAAAAGAAAGAAAGTTACAGAAAATAATCACTCACATGTAGAGGCACACCTGGTGAACAATGTAGTTTGCTAAGGCTCAGGATTGCCAGTTTTCTGAAGGTACTGGGAGACCAGGAAGCAGGAGAATTCACAAATGTTATTCACTTATTTATGTCATAAGCTATTGACATATGCTCTGATGGCATCTTCACAAGAAACTCATTTCTTTCTGCTGCTAATAACTGTGAAAACTTTTTTGCCACTTGTGTTTAGAAAGAAAATTATTACTTCATAATGAATGTAATGCTTTTCTTATTTATGCATGCTTTTCTGCCTCTAGGAGTTGAGTGACTTCCAATATTAGCATAGAGGTAGCATTAATCCTTTGCAAATAGTGGAATCAGCACATCATGGAAGTCACTTGCTGTGAAAATATGCAACTGGTACGATTCTAAGTGCCATATCGAGTCCCACAGCCTGAGCAGGTTAATGAGTATAACATTCTTAGTGACTGAAAGGCTGAACTTAGGTAGCAGTATCTGTGTAAATCCAAAAATTATCAGGCTGCTGGCATATTAAATTTAAAGTCTTGAAAGGAACTTGTCCTGATTTAAAGAGTCGATAGAAAATGAAAACTCTGTGTCAGTAAATACACACCAAAAAAAGAAACAATAACTGAACATGTGTATATCAACTGTTTCCATAGCTTCATGGCATTCTGGCAAGAGAGAGAATAGTGGACAGATTTCAGCTCAGTGCTCAGCATGTGAGAAAAAGGCACATCTGAGGTTAGGAGTTATAAAGAAAAATTCTGAAGGCATTATTACTCTGTTGTGTCAGGCAATTGTGTATCCATATCTTGAGAGCTGAATGTTATTCTGTAAAAAGGAGTTACTAAAAAGACATATTTAAAGAATATATTTAAAATGTCATGGGAGATCTAGCAGGGGAAAAGAGAAGATTTGCAAGGCTGACCAGAAATAGAGAGCTCCACTTCCACTGTGGAAGGGCCTTTTATTGCTGGKGTTGATGAAAGAATGAAACTCAACCTGTAGGCACCACGCCTGCTTTCTGACCTCAGCTCAGTGTGGTTCTCACCATGCATCACTATTATAGCTGAACAATATCACAGTGGAGACTAAATTCAATAGACTTCAATTCACTTCTGCTCAGAGAAAGAAATAAGYTCTTTGATCTTACCAAGAATTTAAGTAATTTTTAATAACTTAAAATTTATTTTGAGTTTTAAATGGTTTGATGATCAAGAGATTATTTTTTAAAAAACAACATTAATTTAGTGGGGTCTTTTCTGAAAGAATGCTTTCATTTACATCTTTCTGCATTGTAGCTGATGCCAATATGAGTTGGAGATGGGAAAGTAGGAAGCTTCTCCATCTGCCTCCTTCAACTTCTGCGTAGATAGTTGGCTTTGCAGCGCAAAGGGTTTTCCTTCCTTTTTTTTTTTCCCTTCTCCTTGCTGACAAGTAAAAAAAATCCTCAACTAGAGCATGTTCTTGCATGAATTACATGTAACCTTCTTCACTGAGAAGTTTGGAAAGTTTATCTTCCTACACGTCTTGTTATGTGTGGTTTTGTGTTGCTAAGCCAAAAATACATCAGTCTTCTATAATACAAATCTTTCTTGCTTTTCTAGGCAGGTTTCAAGATGTAGCTATTTTGCTTGCTGCTAAATTCTGGCTCTGCTAATTAGTTTTGTGCTTTGTTAATTTTTTCCCCCTTTAATTTGTATGCATTGAATTGACTTTAATTAAACCTCCTTGACAGACTGCTTCTTCCTTTATTCCCATAATTTCTTTTTTTCTTAATCCTGACACATCACAAAAAGTCTGCTTTCATTTACTCTGGCATCAATTCACTGCAATTCCATCAGAGTGACTGGAGTTACTTTGAATTTACTGCTTTATAAGYAAGAACAAAATTTGTTCCCATGATTGACAATTACAGACATCTGAATGGAGGTGAAAACCACAAATCTTTCCAAAATAATGTTCAGTCTTTAGTCTTAATGGGTTTCATGTCACCAAGGAATATRTCAAGCGATTCTGCCAGTGGCCATGTGGTGGGAAAAGAAATCTAAGTGCATGAATGTAAGAATTGGATATTACTAATGAGCAAGCTTACAAATTAGCATATTTTGACATAATAGAAGCCTAGTACAAGTCAGACTCTTTGTTTTTAAAAAKTACACCACAAGAGATCCTTTTTTCTTTCTGTAAAATGAGAGAGTGAGATTACTCACCAGAGGGAAGCATGGCTAGTGGTAATCACTGAAAATATCCTTGAAGTAATCTCCACTTTCTGAAACAGCAGAGTACATTTATGTTATCTATGAAATCATGTTGTTTGAGCTATGTGAAGGCATTTGACAACTAAAACTTTACAGTGATTTTTATCCCCCCTTCAAGCAAGGGGATTTTTATTTCTTTACTGCAAAAGATTAAGCAAAAAGAAAATGTGCATACTATTTACATTTCTACCAACGTCTGAAATGTCAGTAGTTCAGATCCCAAAGGTTAGAGTGTTATTTCCTGATCTTTAATGGACTTTCACTTCTGTTCTGCAGAAAAATGGAAAGGAAGAGGAAGAGCAGGATCTCATTTTGAGTCAGCGCGCAGACGGAGTAGAGCTGTCCTTTACCACATCTCTGGACATCTACAAAAAAGAGAGAAGAACAAACTGAAAATTAATAATGTAGGTTAAACTCTTTTTTTCCCCAAAAAAAATATAGCCTTTGTACTGTCTTTAAGAAAAATATAAAAGTGAGAATGCTGTAAAAGTTTGGTGAGTACTTGAGAAATATTCTGGCCATAATTTTACAGTAACAAGGATTAGAATGCTTTCCACTTAAGTACACTTCTGCCTTCTGTGGTATTTGTTAACATATAGGAAGATAGTGCACTTAATCATAGTGTAAACAGACCTTAAGTGCCAGGAAAGCCACATTATAAACTTTCTCAGAACTTAGATTCCATAAGTTCTAAGAGCTTTAGGTTCCAATTACCTTGTCATCCCAATTATTTTATTTCAATTATTACTATTTGCCAAAAAAAAAAAATTATAAAAAAAAAAATTAAAAAAAAAAGAGAGAAATAAAAAAAAAAAAAAAGAAGAAAAAAAAAAAGAGAGAGATTCAAGGTATTGCTCTAGCTGAAACTCTAATCCTGTTAAGCTCCAAAAGGTCACACTTCATTTAGGCAAGTTTTAATGTGAATTTCTCCAACTTTGTGCTGTGATATTTATCTTTTCATTTCCTARTAGGAGTAGTAATGTTTCTGTCTTCAAATTAATTCTGTGTTCCCTCAGTAACTGTAACTAATGAGTAAGTTCACAAAAACRTGCTGTGAATGTTGCTAACACTAAATCAAACCATAGACAACCCAACAATATAACAACAGAAAGATATCTAAAGAAACATTAATGAGAAAAAATAAYTCCTGTTCTGTGCAACTATGTTTCAGGAGAAAAGTTAATGAAGAGGAAATCAGAATGTTTGTGTAAAAAATTGCTAGAATCATGTCAGAAAGCAYGTTCCAACAGTGGAAGCCTAGAATTGGAAGTAGGGGAGCAAAAACACTTTCTCTGAAGAGTAGTTTTTTTTTTACATATCACTATTTTTAATAAGGTAAAGTCTTTGACAGAGACACAAGAACAAAATGGTCTTGTTCTGTTCTTTTTCTTTTTTTCCCCCAATGGGAGGAGATGGAAAACAGACAATGGAAAAAGTAACCACCCTGAAATGATGATCTTCCACCAGGAATGTTCCTGTTACTGGCTACCAAACTTAAGCAGCAGTGCAGATACATCCTCACAGATRTTATTACATTAAAAATTAAAAGTAGGAAAAACTTGATATAGATTAAGGAGGTGAAAATACACAACTGCTATATATCTCATAGTGCATACAGTCACTTCCATTGAATGTAAATATTAATGATGAAAAAAGATTAAATGTTAAAAAAGTTACAAGTGCTTCATGTTGAAAAGGCACAATAATAAAAAACTTCCCTGCAAAATATAACCAGGTCTTCCAGGGATATTTTCATTACATAGCACTACGATAATATTTTTTAGAAACATGACTTTTAATGACTTTTTAATGAGCTTTTGATGACTTACCCGTATTGTCAAAATCCTAGTGCAGATGTTATTGCACCATATTAAAATATTTATTCTGAGACTGATTTACTACGTTTAGTGCATGGACTTTTGGAGCTATGGATTGGAAGTAATACAAGGAACACTTTCTTTTCTGTGATTAAAAAATGGGCAGCTCCTAAGAACAGGGAGAATTCAGCTGCTTATTCTCATTCATGAATGAGAACCAAGAGCAGAGAAGGCACTGACATCAGTGTTTCAAATGAGACACAAAGAGAAAAGTTGTGACAGACAAGGCAAATGTAGTTAAGTCTACAGTCATGCCGGTTTTCATCTTTTTAATTTCATAGTGAATAACTTCAGGATCAGAAACAAACTTAGATTGCTGGATGCATTATATTGTTTTGGGAGGCTCTTTGTCACTGGAGCAGCATTAACCAGGTGCACAGTAACAGTGAGCAGCAATTTTGTTAGTAAATAATGCCAGACACTTCATGTCCCACATACTGCTTTTAGGGAAGGTAGGTGTTTCTAGTTAAAGTTTTGAAAGAAGAAAGCTAAGAATTTTTAAAGCTTAACACTGAAATCTTGATAAGACAGACTCAAGACAAACCTTAGTTTAATGACAAAGGTAGTCAGTTCTGAAGCCGTATTATGACGGATCTACTATTTTGATTTAGATCAGGAGTGCAATTTTAAAGAAAATCAAAAAGTTATTCCTACTAATTGTGGTTTCATTCACATTAACTGAATTCCTACAGATAAAACTGAACTGGGAAAGGTGTTCCAAGCACTGGAGCTGCTCAGTCCATGGGAACAGGGAGTGAGTCTGAATGAGCCTCCTCATAGCTCTATGCATAGAAGGTTTTTCTCCAGTACCATCTACTACTTTTCTCAATGTTTTCCTATTTAGAGTGCCTTGTCTTTGTGTATAAAAAGCTCTAACTTATCTGTCCTTAAGTAGAATAAGATTGCTCTGCAGTGAGAATTAATTCAAAAGAGGATAGATTTGCCAAATTCAGCACCCTCTTCATTCTATTTAATTTGTACCTTATCAGTCTTCTTCCTGCCTCAATATCTACAAAAGTTATTCCTTGAACAGAAACATCTGTGTAAAACAAGTGTGAGGATGATGGTGGGAAAAAAGTAGCATTAGTTCTTGCCTGCATATGAGTATGTCATATTTTATTACACTTTTTAAAGAAAAAAAAAGAAGAACCAACCATCCACCTAAGGGCTGTGTTAGAAGAAATGCCTCTGTGTGATCAAATTACTGTTTTGTCTCATTTAATTCTTTTCCCTTTTTTTTCAGAATGTTTTTGTAGATAAACCAGCATTTCCAGAATACAAAGTTTCAGATGCAAAAAAGTCCAAATTCATACTGTTGCATTTTAGCACTTTTAAAGCTGGCTGGGACTGGCTTATTTTACTGGCAACGTTTTATGTTGCTGTGACTGTACCTTACAATGTTTCCTTTATTGGCCATGATGAGCTGTCTACAACCCGAAGCACAACTGTCAGTGACATTGCAGTGGAAATTCTCTTTATCATAGGTAAGATATGCTTGGGGGTTGTTTGGGATCTCTTTTCTGACATCTAGGATTTTCACAGAATATATAATATAGAAAAAGAAATAATCGTCTCTTTCATGACTTTAAAGAAAATCAATTTTCGCTGTATGGCTTGATATTTTATCTGAACTTTAGATTGCCTTTTTTTTTTTTTTCTTGACTTTAAATTGATTTGGGTAGTTCTGCTGTTTCTCTAAAAGGGCTTTTGTTCTCAAGGAAGATTGAAACTCATTTCACCCTGTGGATGCTTAAAAACTTCCCAGCATAGGGATATGCCCTGGAATTGCTACAGCGTTGTTTGCAATCTATTTTTTTTTTAATTTCACAAACACTTAGGAGAGCCATGGACCACAAGCTGAATAGATTTTTAAAAATATTGCTTTAAGTTTAAAACTCATACTGCAATAACGTAGGTGTACAATATCAATATGATATATTGACAMCTGGCATAGAATTTGAGAGGTTGGAGTTTGTCTTCTGATCCATTCTCTAAACTTTTTATTTCCAAGATTCATTTAATTCTTATATCTTTTAAGAATCAAAAAGAAGACAAGATCACATCTAACAATGGTTTTGCA